GAGAGAGATAGAGACAGAGAGAGAGAGAGAGAGAGAGAGAGAGAGAGAGAGAGCTTCCATGCCCTTTCAGAAGCAAAGTCAAAAGCAAGAGCAAAAGGATTCTTGGATTCACTGAATCCCTTGAGAGCTCTCCCTCTGGTCTGGAACCAGTTGATACACTGCCTGCTGGGAGCTGCTGAGCTGCCCTTCTGGCGTCTGTACTGTCTCTAGTAAATGAGGAAGTGTAACTCTTGGGAACAACCCAAAATGTAGCAGATGCAATGGTATAGTTCCTGATTAAATATGAATTGCAAAGGAAGAAGTTATGTCTTTAATTCTGTAAGAGTTTCGGGTCGAAGAGAGAAATAAGAAGAGCAGACGTTTTCTGTGTGAACAAACCCTTCTGAGTCTCAACATACTGTGTCTGTGTTCACCACTGTCATTTACCTGATGCATACTAATCATTCTTGGGGTAGGGGAAAAGTGTACATGGTAGGTAAAATGCAGATATTTAATATCAAAAATTGCCAAAGGGTTTTTGATGTTCTCCCCATGCCCATTGAAAAGTATGATTAAACTTTTCTTTTTATCATCACTCTTATTTTCCTTGGCATCCCTAATCATGGAAAATTATAACCCTGCAGTAAACATACTTACTTTGGAAATGGCAGCATTTACTGTATTTGGTTTCCATCTGCCAGACTTGTAGAAGATCTGAAATTTTCAGGGGCTAATTTTTCCTATTGAAAACCCATCTCTGCCCCACATTATATATTTGAAAGTAGCACAAGGCAGAAAATGCAAGGCTTTGTTTTCCTCCATCATCTTATTCTACCTAATCTCCTTATAGTCCCAGGGAAGGAAGACTCAATGTACATTTCTCTCAGAAACACGACAGCTCTGTGTTTTTGTTGGTCTGGTGTATGTTTGTCTATCTTGAACCGTCTGACAGGTAATTATTTATAAAATCTGGTTTTGCCCAGCAAGTTCACATAATACCTTTCACTTTTCATCATAAGCCAGAAAGCTGAATTTAGAATAAAACAAGGTTTGTGTCTGTCCTGAGCCAGCCTAGATGTGCTCACAATTGCTCAATATTAACATTTTAATTCTTTTTTTCTTTCCTACACTCGTGTTCTTTCCCTTACCCTTAAAAGAAGACTATATTTGAAGAAAAAAAAATTTCTGAACAGTTATTTAGATAAAATTCAACAGAAGGAAACTCTCAGAGATGACACTTCAAAAAAGAGCCCCTAAGATTAAAGTGCCACATGTTATCACAGTTAGAGAAGATAACTATGAGGGTTGTTAGGAACTGTCACACACTTGATAGATGAAAAAGAACCTGGCCTAGTTGGGAAGTGACTATCCTGGATCACTAGGTAATAGCGGGAAGAGACCATGCATGATAACCTGCGGCCCCTAATTCTCAGCCCACCCCACACTTCACCCCGTATTTACATTAGAATAGTACAGAGATGCACCATATTTATCCCACACAATAAAGGAAAACATTTCTTAATGATACTATTTGTAGATACACCTACAACATAAATGTGAAGTCATAATAATGAAATCTTAATGGACACTTAAATGACACTTTCTATACTTGGGGCTCAACTCTAAATCATCTATGAATACAGAGCTTCTGTGTGAGTTTTTATTATTGGTGTTAATCCCTTGTATTTTAGAGAGCAAACTTGAAAATAAACCCACAAATAATAAGGAACTTTTCTTCTGGGAAGTTGATGCTGCTCCCTAAGGATAAAGGAAACAAAAATACCCCTCCTCCCACCTAAGTTTAGAAGTGTGACTTTTTGGAACTGCCCTTTAGAGGCCATGTCCTTGACCTTTTCTGCCTTCATACATGATAATAGTTGAGATTCAAAAATAATGTTCCAATTTTAGGGACCAGGGTTTTTAATTTAAAAACCATCAGAAGTGTAAATATTTTCAAACAGTCTATATTGTTCCTGTGTCACTGTCTGTTTTTTGTTTTTAAAAAATAATAACCCACATTAAATGTTATACCACATAGAAGATAAGTAAACATAACGGGTGATCTGTGGTCTGAAAGAAAATAAGTTTATTTGTCTAGAAATTATAAAGTTCAAACTTTGAATTTTTTCGATATAATTCCAAAATTGCTTTCAGGCTTCTATAACCCCTTGTGTGAAAAATCACTAGAGAGTATGTACTCTCATCTGCCCTCCTGGACCTCAGATAACGCCTTCCCAGGTTGCATTTTAAGTTCTCCCATCAGCCATGTATACATCTCATAAAATCTTTTATGGTTTCCTGCATGCTCTGGCTGAGCGTTTCATAGTACATAAACACTTCTACAAATAGTGTAAGGATGGCGAGTGGAGTGTGTCAAAGCAGTACCTCCCTCCATGGTCTGAGTCCCCAGCCATGTTCTGTTCCTTTGGAACACAAGCTGACCTCTTCTGTGCTGTTGCACAGTGGTGAGGAGCAGGGGACTCCAGCAGTTTCCGTGGAGTCGTGCTCATTAAAAGAAAGTCTTTCTTCAAGGGCATCCCGCCAAGCTCAAGCAACAAAACCATGCTGTTGGAGCTGGGTGTAAGTGTGAAGGTTAAATAAAGGTCAGATGCCCTGGAAAACTCAAACATCCAAAGTCGTATCTCTTAAAGTGAGTCTCAAGTGTTGTGAGCAGGACAGTGGTACCATGGCGGTGGGGGGGGGGGGCTAAGTATGAAACTAAATATCAAGCACTGAAATTGTCCTAACTCGTGGAAGCTCTGACCATTGAAGAATCATTTAAAATGGTCAATTCCTTTAAGGGAACAAGAACACCGCATACAAGTGGCTTCCATTCTGTCAAGAGCCTTGGATTCACGGTCCCCCTTCTGCATAACCACTCGGCTGTCACTGTTCTCACTGTTTTCCACTAAGAAGTAAAACTAGAAAAAGATACAAGAGGAGGAATGAGTGGAAGGACCAAGCATAGTTGTACACATCTACTTGCTATTAGAAGCTAAAGTACGTGGGCCTGGAAAGAGCATTTCCTGTTTATCAGAAGGACCCAGCTTCCTGTGGGGCTGCTCTCAGGTGTCTGTAACTCCAGCTACAAGGGATCCAAAGCCGCCTTCTGGCCTCCATGGACACCCAAATACATGGATGCATACACTCATGCTAACACACATACAAATATGCTCATGCAGACACATACATACACATGAATAATAAAAACATTAAAATATGAAAATGGTATGTCAGCAGGTTCATCAATGTGGCATAATAATTAGAGAGAGCCCCTGTGAAGGATGCACACAGTGTGGCCCAGAGGCAGGAGAAGGAACTTGGCAAGTTAAGTCCTCTGTGAAGTTATCCAGAATGGAACTAACATTTGTACCAGCACTTTGACCCCACTTTAAGCAGCATGGAATATACTAGAAACTTCTGGGAGCACAGTGAAGAGTGCTTTCTCATACAAAAAAAAAAAAAATTGCAAGAAAATTTCATTATAAATTAAAATAGTCCTTATCTATACATTATGTAAATAATATAAAACAAAACATACAATAGAATGTAATATGCCAATTCCTCTTTAATGTTTTAAACCTCAAGATGATAATGTATAAATACTATAATACATTTTAAGAGTCTGGCAGGAGTGGGGCCGTGGGTGCTGAGGAATTGGCTCAGTGGGTAAGAGTGTCCCAGCAAGCAAGAGGACCTGAATTCAGATCTTCAACACCTTCAGAAAAAAAAGAAAAAGCAGGTGTGGCGATGCCTGTCTGTCACTCTGATAACTGGGGTGGGGGTGGGGTGGAGAAGAATCCTGAGGTTTACTGACTGCTGACCAAGCCAAAAAGCAAATTCAAGGAGAGACCTTGTCTTAAGAGAATAAGGCAGAGATTAAGCAAACAGGATGCCCAGGGTCATCCTTTGACCTGCCGCAGGCACATATCCCTGCACACAGACATGTACATACATAAAGACACCACAGAAAAGAAAAAATAAAAAGGATTCTTGTATAAACTGTAACAAAGAAATCCTCCTCCTCAGAAACCCATGCATACACTTCCTCTCCTTCCTAAATGCTAGCTGTATCCAGAAGAGTAATTGCAAAGGCTACTGTTGTATTCTTTCATACAAGTTATCTATCCATGTTCCAGAATAAGCTCATCTTGTTCACAGGTACTTGCTAGTGTTCAGAACATGCATGAAATGGTCTTTTGAAGTATGTGCTCCTTAGCTCTGATGTAATAGGCCTAGTTTGAGTCTGGCACGTTTGTGTGTAAGTGTTTGGGAGACTTAATATAGAGCAATAAACAGGAAAATGGAAAGAAAGCAGCTGACTGTAATTTGCATTACAATTTTTTTTCAGTTCTATCCTTACTTAGCAACTTTTAAAATTCAGCCCCAGAGGCTAGA